TCTCAACTTTGTGTTGTATACTTCTGTTTTTAGAATGAAATTCGCCACTTTGAAGCCAAACTCGGAAAGAAGCAGAAACAGAATTGGATGAGCTGATATAGAGTTAGACAGGAAAAACGTGTAAATAATACATTTAGTAAAAACGTTAACTTTTTAAAATAAAATGATAAACTAAACCATTGAGATCTCTTGGCATGCTTTGCATTCATCACCATTGCTCAAGCTCAACTAGAAATGGTTCTTAGTAAGTATCTGAAGGCAAAGCTGTATAATATTATTACATTTTAATTTTATCACTTTTTCAGATTATCATTATATGAGAATACATCATTACAGTACAGACCATTGATGCTGGAAGTGAGTGGATAGTGTTACCGGAGACTCAGGGATCCAGAAAATAGATCCATAAATAGTACAGTGTATTCATGAAAGTGGATCAAATAAAAATGTTCAATCCAAAAGTAACATTCTTTGTTTGTCTGTTAGCATTTTTTTATTGATGTTAATCTAACAAGCTAATTCAAAGAATTTGTGTTCCCCGCTTATGGAAAAAGTAAACCATGCGCAATTCGGGGTGGGGTGGGGGTGGGGGGGGGGGGGGGTCGGATCCCCCTAATTGAATTTGTAGAATTTTTAAATGTATACATGAATACTGAAGCAAATAAAATATGTCAATATTGATATAATGATTTAATCATGTGTATAGAAGATTCTTTTTATGTGGATTATTTATCACAACGTAATGATGATTTTATGAGTTTGTACAAGCTAGACCTCATAATTTTTTTTCATTTCACATGCTGAATACTATCATTTAGTAAAAAAAAGAATTTCGGAAAAGAAAAAAAATGATCGTCTGAGAATCGAGCCCGTGACCTCTCGCATGTGAAGCGGAAGACATACCTGACTGCGCCACGGAACTGATGTACAATTTCGACAATTATATGCAGATATGAAGTCACATACATGTATATATTCACGTTTGATGTCGTCAAAAATTTACACAAAACATGGTTTCTAATTCAACCTTTATTAAACAGTTCTGGTAGATGTGATAGGAATATAAATTCTGCCGAGAACCTGTTTTATACACAATAACTCTCCTCATGCCCCTGTGCTAAAATAGCGACATGTAATACTATAAATACTAATAAAACAAACGGGGCGGGACACTTTGAGAGAGGTCCTAGGGAGTTTTGGTATAAAATACATTGCATAAGCTCAAAATCTTCTTGAAATATCGCCCGGAAATGATAGTGTTACACACAGAGAGAATGTATAAATTTACGACCTTTAACTTTGACCTTTTGACCTCAAAATCAATAGGGGTCTTCATAAGGCCACGAGGAGTTGTTTTGTAAAATTTCATTGCAATAGCTCAAATGGTTCTAGAGATACTGTGTGGAAAGGAAAGTGTTATAACAGACAGAATTTGTTTATTTATGACCTTGACCTTTGACTTTTTGACCACAAAATCAATAGGGTTCTTCTTTAGTCCATAGGGAGAAACTGTTGCTATGCTAAATTTCATTGCAAAAGCTCAGAGGGTTCTCGAGATATCGTGTGGAAACGAAAGCGTTCCAGACAGACAGAAAGACGGACGGACAAACTCGGGAGGGGGGTGTGGTTAAACATTAGGGTACGTTGAGAAAAAAGTTGGGTGGGGGATGTCATCCCCCCTACCCAACCCAAACCTGATGCTACATGCCTGATTGACATGGTTTTACTTTATAATTATGTGAGCTGTCATAGTGACTCTCTTTCATAAACAAGAATTATTGTGAGCAAGCTAATAAAATGATACCAACCCTCCTGCTATTGCATTAAATGTTTTTTATTACAAAAAAGGTCGAAATACTAATTTGAAACCTTTTAAAATTTTGCTAGTGCAGATATACATTCCAAAATGACTATGACAAATACTCAAGTCATAGGTAGTAAAACCGTTGTGTTGAGCACAAACTTCCAATTTCCCTTCATTCGAAGTTAAATATGTAAATGTGCCAAACTCATATAGTACACTTTTACTGCAGTGACCTTGAAAAAGCTATGTCCTTGAGTCAAGGGCAAACATGTTCAAATGAATTTTGGTCAAGGTAATGACAAACCTACAGCTTAAAAATAATTCCCACGATGAAACCAAGTCTTTTCATTAGAATGTTACAGAATGGGCAAAGGTTGCACTTTTCTTCTACCAATGACCTTGAACTTGTTCAAATGACCTTGAGTCAAGTTTTTGACACATCTCTCGATCGCAAGCAATCTTAATATCAAGTATGAACTTTCAGTGGCACTTCATTGAAATGTTATGGACAAGTCAAAATTTTACATACATATGGATCGGTGAACAAGGTGATTCCTACCCCCCCCCCCCCCCCTCTTTTCCAAGTTTCGTTTGTAAGGAATATAGAATTCCTTTTGAAATTGAATGTGCATTTATTTATTAACAATAGTTAAGTTATGAGTATGCTTTGATCAGAACCAATATGGCCAATATAATGGACACTGAACATGTATTCAAATTACCCCCACCCCTTCAAAAAAGCTTATAAATGCCAGATTTTCACACATTTTAACCATTTGTAATTTTTTTCTGCTAAAGTTGTCTGCAAATTTTATTGTATAGATATGACATATAGATAACCCCTAACAAGATCATACCATTCATTTTTCCAGCAGTGGTTGTAGATTTTGTGAATAAAGTGATAAACATATGTAACTTTTTTCAAAATTAATAAGCATTGACGCCATGTTCTTTTCCCGTTGTCATGGCAACAATATTACTACAGAAATTTTGTTTTTCCTATTTTTGGAGAATAAAGTAACTCCATCTTTTAACAAATAAAGTAACCAAAATACCTTATCTTATCACGTTCAGAAAAAAATATTCGTAGAAAAATGTTTAAAAATCATTGATTTTCATAAGGATTTATGAACCCGTTGCTAAGGAAATGAATTTCCTTGGATACCAGTCCCTTCATACGTTCGAAAAAAAATTTAATTGTGTTTTAACATTAGGTAAGACAAAATCTTTCATATACCAAAAGCTTTTGAAAAAATAAAATTTTGACTTTCCATTCAATGCTCGATGCTTGCTGATTTTGACTCTTAATTAAAATATAGAAAATTTCATACCAAGCAAATCAAGTTTTTTGTCTATTGTTCACTGCAGGGGAAGGAGGGTGAGCAGACTTCACAATGCTATTCATGTAAATAGTAAAATACAGATCTGTGTCTGTAATACATTTCTTCTTCAGTGTTATTTTTACAAATGAATACAAATGTACTTGTACTTAGTATATAATTCTTTATTCAATAACTTTAAGCCATACGGCTCATCAGTTTATATAAACAAATATACATAATGAACGAGAGGTGAGAGTCTGCGGGGGGTGGGACCCCTAGTGTCCATCTGCCTGACTCCCATACTGGTACACCAACAGATATACAATATATTTCAAATTCTCCATTATTATATGAAAAATTATTATAGCATGATATACTCAGTAATACATGAATACATATGAATTATATTATTCGTTATTTATTACTTACGTGCATAAATAAAAATGAGTTGAATTTTATTCAAAAGTTTTTAGCCGTGTCATTGAAACATTTCCAAGTTGATCATGTGCATGTTTGGTTGACATATAACATTAAAATTAAAAAAAAAGAAAGAAAAAAAAAAAAAAAAAAAAAACCACTTCATCTGACGAAGAAAAATAATCAACAAACGGGAAACACTTTTCCTTCGTATTAAATGCTTAAATTATAAATTCCCTTTTTAGATCCGGCATGCACTCGTTTCCCATTATGTTCTTGTATTTTAGTTTATTAATATATTTGGTTTAAAAAAAAAAACGCAACTACATGTATGGGTGTTTAAGGAATTGTAAGGAAATTAAAACATTACCTAATAATTAAAGTATTTTATCGTAAATATAATTAATCTGTCACCATTATCATCTGATCAGGGTGGGCGTGTGTGCTTACGGCGATTCGCAAGACTGCTCAATTATTCGTATTGATAGAAGCCAAGTGTGTCGTAAAACAGCACGATGAGGGTATATCAATGTAAACAAGTTTCACACCTTCTTTTGTTTACAAAGAATCAAAATAATCAACTGAAATTTCATGAATTAATATAATATTTAAATCAGAGACATCAATAAATATATAATGTCTCTGGTAAAAAAAACCGCATATTCTGACTTGAAATGTAAACATACGTATGTCTTACGATTAAATCCTGCTGCATCATATTCGAAGGTATAAAAGAAAGAAGAAAATAAAAATTAACAGCCAATATTAAATATAAATAGAGAGTTTGATAGGGTGCTTGGCTGCCCGGAACGTTTTTTACGGCCGGAACCAATCTTACGCGGGCCGGAACGTTTATTATGGCCCGGAACCAATATTATAGGTATTTAGCGTTCCGGCCGGAACGCCAAGTTACCCGGAACGTATATTATGCGACAACGGCAGCCAGCTACAACCAGTGTTTCTGTGCATCTTTCCTCCATTAGATTCTGACGTAATTTATGACATTTTTTGGTTCATAGATGACGAGGAATTGACGGGGGCGACATCTTCCGGTGTTTTATATACCGATATTAACGTGACTGCTCTCAGGCCATCGAATTGGACAAGGAACTACTCACTGAATTTTGAAGTAATTCAGAGCAATTATTATCGCAGTTTTCTAAAAAAAAAATTTATAATCATTAATATTGAATTGCATATTTACTTATTTTTTGATACCTTTTTCTCAAAAAAAAATTTCATTATCAATTCAAGTCAAATGTTTCTAGGTTACTTGCGCAGTGAAAGCATTTAAAACATCAATTTCAATGTTTGGTCCAAAGTACAGAAGCATAAAGTTTTTGCAGGAATCAAGGTAATTATGCCATGGATTGAAATATATATTTTATTAAAAATTTCTGTTAACTTTTGCAGATATTTGTAATTTTTATATGTAATTTAGCCAGACCAAAATCCATACTATGTAACAGAGGGAGTTACATACAAATTAAGCTCACAAGTACTATTCCGTTCAGCTGTCCTCTGTCTTTAAATGAAGAAATGCGAGAAGCCTTTTGTACGTATTACTTCTTTGTGTGGACGCCATCAGAAGAAAGCTGCAGGAATGGTATGGCTAGTAATGGGATAGCCCTGACAAACCAGCCCTGTGGGGTGAAGTTTAACTTTAGGGACTGGGGCAACAGAAGTGTTTATATCAATGTGACGGGTTATGTAGATAGAATGATTAACTATAACGACAGGACAACGTATCTACACATAGCGTCAACAAGGAACCCAATGGATCCACTGGGAATCTGGGACAATTTCAGTATTGGAGGAATTAAAGTATACATGGACCTTTTTTCCTTATTTTCATCCTGACTTGCTTTAATTTTTTTAAGTATTATGTCTATTATAATAATGTCTTATAGATAAAAATGGGTACAATCTCTTGTACTTTTAGGTTAAAGTGGGCGACCGCGACAATTTGGTCATGGGGAGTCAATGTATATCATCCAATGACCCACATATGACGACATTCGATGGATATCGTTGGGAAAACCAGAGAACTGGGACATTTGTTTTATATCAGCACAGAACATTACCATATACGGTAATCTACAAAATCTATAGCGAACACTACTATCCTAGCTAATTTTATTATTAAAATAGTGAAGCACAATAAGATGTTGTTCCTAGAACATTTTAATTTGCTTATTGTATCCGTGACTCTATCACAAGTATTTTTATCAATATTTTTTTCATTTTTAAAGCAGAAACCACAATTTGACAGTATTTGTTTTAAAATGTAATACCAAATGAAAAAGGATCCGATCTTTATTTCTTTAGGTCCATGTTATTTATTCTGAATGTGTCCCAAGGCGTGCCACCTGTAACTGTGGAGTAGCAGTCAGAAATGGGTTTAGCTACTACATCGTCAGGACTTGTGAAATAGTTTCGTTATATAATACCAAAATACTCTCAATTCCGTGTGAAAAAGATCAACTTTGCAAAGCTGCTGATCTCCAAATTGTGAAATCTGGAGAGCATTACACAGTAAGTATAGTGATTATATCTTCATATAGCCTATAAAAAGTCTTCTGACTATGTTATGGATTATTTTAGGAATTTTGTCGCATTTTGGTTGAAATTCTGCCTGCTCGTCATCAGTTGGAATCCTTTAATCAAAGTTGTACGATTTCATCCTGCTTAAAATACATCTACACTTTTTTGTATTTTTTAATTGATTTTGAGCTTGATTACTTTTCTTCATCTTATTATGTTATTCAATATTTTAACTAGTATATAATTGAACGAATTCCTCACTCCTCCATGGCACATGATTTTACCTCTGATGTTTTGGAGGTCCGTGTTTGTTCTGCTCCTATCTTGCATTGTTTAATGGACTTTTTAACTTAAAAACTGTTCATTATCTCCACATATTTCATTCTTACAACCAGTTCATATTTTGAGGTAGGCGGTTATAGATCCCGACGTATATACTTTCCAATCAAATGGCGCATTGAAATCATATTTAATTTTATTATCTTTGTTACCCCAAAAGGTAACCTTCCCATCTGGAACACAAGTCTCGTTCTCCATCTCGTCTTGGAATAACTTTATCGGGAGTGTGAGGATCCGGGCTTCTGTGTCAGACATTGAGTCTTCCCTAGGTTTGTGTGGATTAACTAATGGCGATACATCTGATGACTTCATCCCAAAAGGCGGCAGCAGTCCCACTGACTCCACCACATTTGCAATGTCATGGAGGTAGTACACATAACTATTACATTGAATTGAACTGTTTTCTTATATTTTCACTCAGAAGATTACAGGGGCATATCTCTTTAACAGAATTTCAATGGATTCTGGTGTTAGCCTATTTTCGAAGCTCTCGTCATATTATCAGGACACATCATGGATGTATGTATTTAATAGTGATATTAAATTTAAAAGGAAATTTAACCTATTTTACTATTGAATAAGCCTGATCAATTTTGTGAAATTTAAGATATAATGGTGGCGTTCAACCAGAAGCTGATGATACTTACTGCACATGCGCACAGAGAGGGCCAATTGATACATATCAGTTTTCCTTACCAAACGCAGTTCATTGTAATATGACGTCGCCCAGTCAGTTGTGCGAGGGAGGTAACGCAGAGCTGACGTTGAATTCATGTTCCAATGCAGATAATCGCAAAAGAAGGTCAACAGAAGATACAGATGATGTGGATATAGAGAGTGAATTAACATATGATAAGAAATACAACGAATCAGCTGATATTGAGGTACAAATATTTGTACAACAAAAATTATGAAGGATAGGGTTTTTATACATATATTTCACAAATCAAAATATAAGGGAGAAGACATGTGTATGAAATGTTGATATGTTTAAGGCTGCACAGTGGATAAATGGCTGGGATGAAACATCAGCAAAAGTATGTACGAAACAATTTGACCTTGACCCCGCTGTAGATGTTTGTGACCGACTGGTCAACATCAGCAAAGAACCATTTATTGATGAATGTGTCGCAGATATCAAGGTATTATATGCAATATACTTTATAACAGTTTAAGATTTGTGTTTGGTTTTCTTAATTTTGAAATTTTTTGTTGAAATATTAGAGAATATTTTTTGAGAGAGCATTTTTTAAAGAAAATCTTATTTCATCATAATTTAGATATCTGGAAATGATACTTTCATAAAAGACACATTAGTCACATTGAAAGGCGCTTGTTTGACAGAAGCAACAAGAAACGAAGCTTTCTTCGAGATTCAATCGTCTGATACCAGTGGATTGACTGTCTTTGATTACATTTCATCATTTTTATGTCCTGGCAATTGTTCTGAAAATGGAGTTTGCGTAAACGGTAGATTACTTGCTGAATGATACAAATTATTTTGAAATATAGTTGATTATTACTTTTCATCTCCTTGACGAAATTTTATTTTATGAATAAATGAAATAGCATCGGTTTTAATATAATTAAAGTTTTTATTCTTTTAGCCACTTGTTCGTGTTTCGATGGTTTTCTTGGTTCCGATTGTTCTGGAAAACTCTCTGTTCCCCCAAAAGATTTTCTTCTACCTTCAAATGGATTGTGTGATATCAGTTCCAGGGGATGTCTCAAAACAAACATCTTGGGATTTTTCGATGTTGAAAATGTCACAGCTAAGTTTGAATACTTTCAGGTAAGAATACCAGGTATACATGTCCAAAACTCAAAGTATCTATTTTTCATTATTTACGTTTAATTTACATGCCTTATCTATTAAAAGGTGAAGAATAATGTGATCCATACAACAAATCACGTTAAAATAGAAAGCACAACTTACTATAACTACAACAAGATCACTGCTGAGATACCCAAACCTCCTGAGTCACTACGGCGAAGGAGAGCAGCAAGTGTAAACTCAGTGGTGTATGGATGGAATATATCACTCAGCTATGACGGGTAAACGTACAGCAGTCACGTGACCATGCTAATATTTGATGGACAGGTTTACAAATGTGACGCTCGAACGCTTGTTTGCAGTTCTTTGGTGAGTACAAAAACGTTATGAAAGTGTAGTTAATGGAATGTTTTGATTCAATTTTTTTGTTATTTTGAAAAGTCTGAAATATTTTGCTTTTAAATTTTTACAAGAATCAAATGACTACGGATTCCCCGACTGATACCAGTATGTAACACTTGTACTTTACCATTAAGAAATTTTCAAAATAAACCCTATATCCTCAGATACGAATCCGTTATTTCAGATATGTGTGATTCCTATAATATATTTTGATTTTCACAGACGCCAATAAACTTTTGCTGATGGTTGGTGCCACGACGGGATTTCTTGTGGTTGTCATTTTAACGACAATCATAGTTGTTTTGATAAAATCGAATCGGTATGATCAAGTGTTTTTACTTAGATATGAATTATTCTTTGAATTGTATTACACAACTACTCTAACACTATATTTTTTCCAGGTATACAAAATCGGTCGTTTCTTCAATCAACAAAAAATTTCATACATATCCATAACCATCACTTTTGAATAGTTACTGCTAAGGGTTTTATAGTTCAAATGTGTATTTATTGTGACAAGACTTTTCATTGGGCATAAAAATATTTGAGTTTTTAACTTTTACCTTAGAGTTTGAACCAATGAAAAAAAAAATAACCTTGACCATAAGTTTTGAAGCGTAATTACTAAAGCTTTCATAATTCACATGTGCATTCCTTTTGAGATGACCTTTCTTTGGGTATCAACATTTTTTTTTATCTCTTGACTTTGACCTTGGATTTTAACTTGCATTTGAGAAATTTCAATCCTTGCCATAAGCTGGCATGCGGGGGCATCCGTTTTTCACAAACACATCTTGTTTTTACTAATGAAAATACTTGATTTATAAATAATCTTTATGTAGATACATATTATACTGAGTAGTCTGTTTTGTCTTAAAATTAACTTTTGGAGATAACGACCTCCAAAACATCAGGTTGGAAGAAGGGGAGGTTGTTAAAGTTTCATATATCTGTAGCCTAATCTATAAAGAGGATTTGCTAATGAGATGTTTATAATTTTGTATGTCTACTTACAACCTGAATATTGTTGTGGAATATTTATTTACATTTTTTTAAAGAAATATACATGCAGATATATCATTCTTGTTTAATATCAGCTATTCTTGCACACTAGAGAATTTCATTTACACTTTTTCAAGTATTTTTTACGATATGTTAGACAATGTTAGTTTCCCAGAGGACACTTACCTCCAAAAAATTATATTTTGTTATTTTTCTTCAGTTTTCACCTTAATAATCAAGTGCAGAAACAAGTCATGTTCATTGTTGTTAAACCCATCCGCCACAAAAAGCTGTGGTGCATCCCTTCTATGTAATTGAGTATATGTGATACTAGAGTTAGAACCTGCCTTTTTAAAATTTCTGTACTTTAAATATAAATTCAACATTGAAATACTCATTACTTCGTGACGTTTAAACCAATAGAACAAGACATTCTATCAGACTGGCGTACAGGCTTTCTTTCTGTATTTGCTTTACAAAAAATGTAGGACTACAGTTCTATATGTTTTTAACACACTGAGGTGGAAATATATTTAGACTCAAAAGTTACCTCAGTAATTGACATGCAAATGACGAGGAGATTCCAAAAGGAACATGGAATACAAGGTTCTGTATCTTTTACTGATAATGCTGGCGAAAACATTTGAGACAGCATATGGTAAGGCATCTAAATAATTATCTGAACTCTTTTTATAAGAAAATTCAAGCACAATTTTACATGATTGGAAAAAATTACCCGATGTTATATATTGAATTGCTGCATGTATTGACAGAAAAGGGTTTTATTTACACTTTTTAAAAAATATTCTGTCTAGTTTTGTATTAGAATTTCGTTTATAATACATTGATGAAATTTTTCCTTATTCTGCATATATATGTACAATCGTATACGTTCAGAAAACTATTTACTTTTATCTAGGCACAAATACTTGTAATTGTATGCTTCTGTCAGTTTGTTTTAGAATTACAATTTATGTTGAAAATATCGAAGCAGCTTTTATTTGGTCCAGAAAAGGAAAAATTTCCATTATCACTTCCTGGTTCAAAAAATTTATACACATTTAAGTTTAGGTACGTACATTGGTTATTCTCTGTCTCAAATTTCTCTTATGTAATTTTTAACAAAAGGAATTTAAATCTTACTACAGAAAACCAATACATAATCAATATCGATAATTGTGCAACTATAGACTAGATACACAATAAACATTGGAGAAGCAGATACTTATCCGAGGGTGTTTTGTTCAAAGACGATTTATAGAGAGCCTTTTGAAAATTTTCAATAACCTTGAGAGTAAATTAGTTGCCAGTAGAATGTATTTTTAGTCCTTTACTCAGCACTTATGGCCAGTGTTGGTTGCAAAATATTTTAGGCGTGAAATCAAATTTAACTTTTTTTTTCAAAACATGCCAAGATAAGAAATAAAATCACTTAAAAGTAAATAATCAGTTATCTTTGCTAAATTGAAAGGAAAAACACAATTCTGTTAAAAAGGACATCTTACATATATTGGACAGCAATGTTAAATCATTATGTATTGACTACAAGTTATATCTCAATATTGCAAAACCCTTATCAAATTCCAACTGATTTTTTAGAGCAAGGTGTATGCCTGTAAGCGGACTTATCACTGTCTCCATACACCTTGCTATAAAAAAAATCGTTTCTTGAAGTATCTCAAGGATCCATAAGTGGATTGCCAATCTACCACCCTCCACATTCCCTGCAATGCATGACCACACCATCGCCCGTGGTTCCATCTTCTCTTGTCTGTTAGACAAACTAGCGAAGTTTCAAAATTGCTTCAACCATTTAAGCAAAAATACTAACACCTCCATAGCACCTGATCCCATCTCATTTGTTTTAGAGGTTGCGTTTGCTCTACTACCGACTTGTATTGTATAATGTTTAAATGAACTTTGAGCTTGATTATTTCCTGCAGTTGATAAGGGTATATTGCGATATAAGTAAAAAAAAAGTTGACGATCTTAAAAAGTTAAAGTAATCACATTTAGATATGTATTTGCTTAATACTGTGCATCTCTTCTTTTAGGAACTCACATCAACTCTTTCTGGTGTCATCAGTTTACTACATACGTAATTGATGATGATAAGACTTGCCTCGACAGAGCAGATGTCGCTGCAATTCATTCTTCATATGTCAATGATGACCTTAAGTTTGTTTCAACTGATGGGGAGCCAGTGGCGTTGTCTTTAGAGGCCTGTTCCTGTCGTGGATCGCTTTACATAAAAGATGCATGTTGTAACACACACACACACACACACACACCCTCAATCTCACACCTACTCCCTCTCACACAAATTCACCACTGCTCGGATACACACCCTTATACAAATACACAAAGAGAGAGAAGGGAACTGAGAGATGAAGAGATAGGAGGAGATAAATTCAATTTTTCCAAGCCTTCTTGAAAGTGACCAGGGAATGTGAAAGTACTGGAAGAAAAATTGCTTTGGCACAAATTTTCACAATTACAATTTTTGAATAAAACCTTTTATGAAACGTCGAAAATATGACGCCTCTTTCTTCGTACTGATTGAAACATATGGAGATAACGAACAGTATTCAAGATCAATAGTCAAATAAAATTATACAAAACAGGAGCAGAGCAAACATGGACCTCCAAAACATCTCAGATGGGATCAGGTGCCATTGAGTAGCATCACCTGCCGACCGGTCATAATCACCGTGTGCTCCTTGTCATGATCGGAAAATAACGGAAAACTTACGGAAATTTAAGTGTATAAATTAAAGACATAATTAGTAGGAAAAACGTCAGTCACTCTTTCGCCGCAATAATAAATTTTCTGACAAGGTCATTGTATCGACCATAGAACTTACAAATGACTTTAAACGAGACTGTTGGTACCGGATATTCTTGTTTTTTAAACTTATTTATAAAAATTTACCTAGATTTAGAAATTGTTCATACATAGAGCATGCCCTTGAGTATCGAATCAACTGAGATATATAAACTCCGTATGCAGGTGATGAAGGTATATTGCTGCATAAGTAAGGGAAGATAGAAAAGTTAAAGTTAGCACGTTTATCATAGAGCTTGGTTGTTAGTTTTTCAAGTAAAATAAACAAATATAAAACAGATGTGTTTTCTTTTATCTCAAGCTAACCGGATATATCGTATCGACAGAAGAATGGAAATTACCAGTGTTAATTGACAATACGTCGTCGATATATCTTATTAAATGTCGAGTTGAAGGCCACAGCAGGTGTTTTATTCTTTTTACGCATAAGATTTCGCATAAATTCTGCTTCATCTGAATACAAAAATAGGTTCTGCTATAACGGGACGCAATAGGTACCATTGGAAATTGCAATAGATTGTTGGAAGACATGGTCTCCAAACACAACACAGGTATTGTCAATCAGAAACTCAATCATCTTTTTTGTCAACTTCATAGTACTTGTGTGTACAATAAGAATGTTTTTTTAACAAAATAATTCTGCAAAAGAGCAATGACAATGTAAGTAAATTTACGAGTTCCATTTTTATTGAAAAAGCAGCAATGATATAAAAGGTCTGGACTTTAATTTATCATGGGGAATGGTTGTGTATAAAGTTGAAAATTTTAAGTTTTGAGCTGTTGATTTTGGTAAAATCTCAATTTCAAATTGTCCAAAAGTTTCTTGGGATTTCTAAGTATTCACATCTGATTTACACCACTTCTTGAATATATTGCTGCACAGTACTCTTGAAATTTATCCTTCACCACTGTTGATATCTTATTGAGGAGTAAAGAAAGAGGCTTCAACCTCATGCTTACTTTTTTAGCTCACCTGAGCCAAAGGCTCAAGTGAGCTTTTCTGATCACAATTTGTCCGTTGTCTGTCGTCGTCGTTGTCGTCGTCGTCGTTGTAAACTTTTCACATTTTCGACTTCTTCTCAAGAACCGCTGGGCCAATTTCAACCAAACTTGCCACAAAGCATCCTTGGGTAAAGGGGATTCAAGTTTGTTCAAATGAAGGGCCAGGCCCTCATTCAAGGGGAGATAATTTGGAATTAAGGAAAATTTGATGGTATGTTTTAAAAATCTTCTTCTTAAGAACCACTGAGCCAGGAAAGATGAAACTTATGGGAAAACATCCTCAGGTAGTGTACATTCAAATTTGTTCAAATCATAATCCCCGGGGGTAGGGCAGGGCCACAATGGCCGGCTAAAGTTTTACATAGAAATATATAGGAAAATTCTTTTAAAATCTTCTTCTCAAGAATAACAAAGCCATAATTGATCATATTTATATGGAAGCATCTTTAGGTAGTGTAGATTCAAGTTTATTCAAATCATGACCCCCGGGGGTATTGCAGGGCCACAATGGCCGACCAAAGTTTTACATAGAAATATATTGGAAAATTCTTTAAAAATCTTCTTCTCAAGAATAACAAAGCCATAATCATATATATATTTATATGAAAGCATCCACAGGTAGTGTAGATTCAAGTTTGTTCAAATCATGACCCCCGGGGGTAGGGCGGGGCCACAATGGCCGACCAAAGTTTTACATAGAAAAATATAGAAAATTCTTTTAAAATCTTCTTTTCAAGAATAACAAAGTCATAATTAATCATATTTATATGGAAGCATCCTCAGGTAGTGTAGATTCAAGTTTGTTCAAATCATGACCCCCAGTGGTAGGGCAAGGCCACAATGGCCGACCAAAGTTTTACATAGAAATATACATATATAGGAAAATTCTTTAAAAATCTTCTTCTCAAGAATAACAAAGCCATAATTGATCATATTTATATGGAAGCATCCTCAGGTAGTGTAGATTCAATTTTGTTCAAATCATGACCCCCGGGGGTAGGGCGGGGCCACAATGGCCGACCAAAGTTTTTCATAGACATATATAGGAAAATTCTTTAAAAATCATCTTATCAAGAATAGCAAAGCCAGGATTGGTATTGAGACTACTTTTGCATTTAAATTATTAAATAATAAACCAATTTCTACTTTTTCCTAGCCACAGTGCTCAGGTGAGCGATGTGGCCCATAGGCCTCTTGTTCATAATGTGCCTAATTTTTTTTTCAATTTAACCCCATTCCCTGCAGTCACGCACTTTAACGCATATACCATTTCCTATTTCTAACGCAAAATCACGCATATACCGTTTCCCCGCAATCACGCATTATCACGAACTTTAAAACTTTTATTTATTGCCAGTTGTCTTCTATTTTATACTTGCTAAAGTCTCATCAAATAAGAAAAGTTATTTACCTTTCAAAATATTACGTCATAATATTGTTTGCTTTAAACTTTAGAGAAACTTGTACCACGCTATAAAGTGCTTGTGGGGAAATGGTAACGTCTATGACGTGATCATTAAGTGTATGTTGCATAACAATTCAGTAAGTTGTAAAGAGTTAATTTTATCTACTTTTCAGACACTATGCCTGGCATTTATACACAGAAGTACGTAAATGTGCACTCATCAGGCCAGCTTGGAACATTCAACTGCGGAAGTTTTTATATTTATTCCGTAAGATACTTGGACTCGTTGATCAGAAATGATGCTGATTTCTGTTTAGGTAATTTTAGCGTTTACTTTAATTTAAAAAAATCTATACACACTGCAAGGTTCCGATAGTGTGTTATGTTTATGTTGTTACAGAAATCTGCCTTTGATTTGAAATAAAGTACTAGTACATATATATGCAAATGTATTTTAATAGTGTCATATGTAACATGTAAACATTTAAAGCATTTTAACATTTAGGCAAAATAAATAAATTTAAAACTTAAGTTGCAGTTACTTTCCAATCTATTTACAATAATACACTGTTTCACTCTCTGAATTTTTTTTTTTTTTTTTTTTTTTGTTGTGGGGTTAAGGTATTCCGATCCTTAGGTCATGAAAAACAGGGTTTGAGTGATTGAAAATGTTAACAAATATGTATCTGAATTCTGAAAAGAATGAAAGTTCATCATTAAAGTTAATCATATGATATTCAATATAAAATTATCAAATCTTAGTCCACTTTCAGGAAATGTGAATCAAAGTATACTCGTTATGCATTTTCTGATTGAAATTGATCAACAAATATATTTAACAATAAATAAATACATGTAGTTTAAAATGTTCAAACTATCAATGCAAGACTTCACGGATCACTTTAATTTCATTTCATGCTAAAAACATTTGTATCTAAGCTACATTAAAAAGAATTTGATTTCTATAAAAATACATTTTACTTTGTACTTCATTGGGGTACAAATGTCAAATTTTTAAAAGACCGTGTCTAATATTTCCAAGAATCTTTAGTCAACCGAGATAAATAAATGAAAATTGTTGCACATACAAAATTTAAATTTCAAGATAAAGTTTGAGCTTTGTAAAAATTGAATTATAATTTAAAGGGTTATTCTTCCTAGCTGAAGATCGGATTTCCTTAATTAATCATCAAGATCTCCATGATGTGACATCTTTTTTTCAGACTACCTTATTCAAATAAATTGCTGTCGTACTCGAAATCCTTCGAATAGTATGATTTTTTTAATTTACTATCAACAGACTAAACTTTTGAACTGATTATAAATGCATGATGTATATCAGTCGTGATGTGCCGAATACTTAAGTTTGAATTTACACAGATTTGATACATTAAATGGTTTTCTACCATATTTTTTCCTATGTCCATACAAAATCGAATTGTTCTAACCTTTGAGCGTCCTTGAGTTTTTTTTTTCATTTTAAAATGAAAGATCAGGAAAATAATCTATTAAAGTTTTTTTTTCCTTTTCTACTGTTTAAATTATGTTTTCCTGAAGTATTTCAGTGTATACAATATTATTTTCAGACGTGAAGTCAACTTGTAAGGAACTTAATACTTCAGAAACAAATATAGGTTAGTATTAAATGTTTTTTCTTAATATGTATTTATATAGTTTGAATGAACTTACTAATGAATACTTTTCAAATTCCATATCCAGTACAATTTCTTTTGTAGACCGTAATTTAAAAACTTGTTCGGAGGTTCAACCCATCTTAATGGAATCAGAGGACGGCAGGCAGTTAGAACCAGTGTTTCTGTGCATCTTTCCTCCAATAGATTCTGACGTAATTTATGACATTTTTTGGTTCATAAATGACGAGGAATTGACGGGGGCGATATCTACCGGTGTTTTATATACCGATATTAACATGACTGCTCTCAGACCATCTAACTGGACAAGGAACTACTCACTGAATTTTGAAGTAATTCAATTCAACTATTATTGCAGTTTTCTAAATAAAAATATTTAAATCATTGAATAGTATATTTACGTATTTTGGGGTTTCCCTTTATCAAAAAAGTCTAAGAGATTAATTCAAGTTGAATGATTTTAGGTTACTTGTGCAGTGAAAGCATTTAAAACATCAACTTCAACATTTGGTCCAATGTACAGAAGTATAAAGTTTTTTGCAGGAATCAAGGTAATTATATGCCATGGATTGACAAATATATTTTAATTTTAAAAATGTGAACTTTTGCACATATTTATAATTTTTATATGCATGCAATTTAGTCAGATCAAAATCCATACTATGTGATAGAGGGAGTAACATCGCAGATTAAACTCACCAGCACTATTCCGTTCAGCTGTCCTCTATCTTTAAGTGAAGAAATGCGAGAGGCGTTTTGTACGTATTACTTTTTTGTTTGGACGCCAGCAGAGGACAGCTGTAGGAATGGTATGGCTAGTAATGGGATAGCCCTGACAAACCAGCCCTGTGGGGTGACGTTTAACTTTAGGGACTGGGGCAACAGAAGTGTTTATATCAATGTAACGGGTTATGTAGATGGAATGATTAACTACAACGACAGGACAACGTATCTACACATAGCGTCGACAAAGAACCCCATGGATCCACTGGGAATATGGGACAATTTGAAAGTTGAAAAGATACAGGTATGCTTTCTTGCATGAATTATAGTAATATTTTTCAATGGAGCATTTTGTATTTTATTCTACTTGAGTAATTCTTTCAGGTTAAAATAACCGATAAAGATAGATTTGTGAGTGGTCGACAATGCATATCTTCTAATGACCCCCACATGACAACATTTGATGGAATTAACTGGGAAAACCAGAGAACCGGAATATTTATACTGTATCAACACAAGACATTACCATACACGGTACACATGTATTACATTCTGAAATCAGACAAACAACAATTGGTTGCATTGCCAAAAATTAGGCTTTTACTGCTTCAAATTACAGGTACACGTAATTTATTCTGCTTGTATGCCATGGCGAGCAACATGCAACTGTGGAGTTGCTGTAAGAAATGGTTTGAGTTATTACATTGTGAGAACTTGTGAAATGATTTCCTTCGAAAATACCAAACTCTTGTCTGTTCCATTCGAAAAGAAACGTCTCTGTGAAGCAAAAGATTTGGGAATAGAAAAATCGGGGCAATATTTTTCTGTAAGTACAAAATGAGCTTCATAATATACGAAATCGTAATTGGATTGTTTTCTCTATTTCAATAACAAATGTCTGAGATTATCTTTACGATGGATGGATTAAATAATAAAGATTGTTTTCAAGGTTACATTTCCAAGTGGAACACAGGTCTCGTTCTACATCTCGTCTTGGAATAACTTTATCGGGAGTGTGAGGATCCGGGCTTCTGTGTCAGACATTGATTCGTCTCTAGGTTTGTGTGGATTAACTAATGGCGATACATCTGATGACTTCATCTCAAAAGGCGGCAGCAGCCCCACTGACTCCACCACATTTGCACTGTCATGGAGGTAACTCAAAATAATTTGAAGACTTTCTGGTAAATAAGGGATAAATTATTGACAAAAATATGAAAATTGATGAAAATTATCAAATTAATGCTTTTCGTCTTACAGAATTCCAGTGGATTCAAACGAAAGCCTTTTTTCGAGTAATCCTTTAATTCTTCAAGACACTTCGTGGATGTGAGTACTGTCTTCTATCATATCAAACTCCATAATTCTTAACGATTTTGGAAAATTCAAAATCTTATATATTTATAATCAAAATCAGAAAGGGAACAAGAAGATATTGGTTTTATTCATAACTTAACTGTAAATAAGCAACATTCACTTTATTGCCTGTATTGAATGTAATTCAAGCCAGAAATATTAAACAATTACGAAAGTGTCACAAACGCCTAATTAAATATTTTAAATTTCAGATATAATACAAACAACCCTTTAGTAAGTGGAAAGACTTATTGCACGTGCGCTCGAAGTGAACCGGTAGACACCTACCAGTTTGTCTTATCGACTGAGGCTCACTGTAACATGACTTCGCCAAGTGAGCTGTGTGAGGAAGAGACCTCTCCTTTCATAGTGAGCTATTGTCCAAGTCTGTATGAAGATGAACGTAGAAAGAGGTCCACTGCTGATACGGACAATGTTGCACTGGACAGTGAATTAACCTATGATCCAAATTATAATGAGTCTGCCTTCATAGAGGTACTTGGAAACGATGTTGTTTTTGTATTGTGGTGCATTTGTATGTTTGTAAGGTCACATAGTATTCAAACTTAATTGGAAAAATGTCATGAGGCGAATCACACATTGTTCAAATTGTTAGACTTTGACTTTTTTTATTGTTTAACTAAGGTGGCAGGATGGATAAATGGTTGGAACGAAACAGCTGCAAGAATGTTCTGTTTAAAACAATTTGCCTTCGACCCCGCAGTAGATGCATGCAAAAGACTGGTCAATATTAGCACGGATCTATTTATCAATGAATGTGTAGCTGACATAAAGGTACACGTACTGCCTTTATGACTTTCATATTACGAGCAATTCTTTATAATGTCTTCAACAAATGTTTCTTAGTTTTATATATGACACAAAAAAGACCCCTGCTATTTGTTTTCCTGTCTCACATGTATCCCAGAAAAACCACGATCGTGGCATTTGCATTTTCCTTCTTGCTTTTCAATTTGAAGTAGAATATTTTCATCCAAATCAAAGTAGTAATACGCAAGTAATCTTATTGTTTTCATCTCGATTTACTAATATTCTTCAGCTCTCTGGAAATACTTCATTTATTGAAGACACTTTGAATACAGTGAAAGGCGTTTGTCTTTCCGAGGCAACAAGGAATGAAGCTTTTTACGTCAACCAAACATCTGAAACCAATGGATTGTCCATCTTTGAATTTATTTCTTCGTTTTTATGTCATCGTAACTGTTCAGGAAATGGAGCTTGTGTGAATGGTAATTATCTCCATCTCCATATATAGTTATATAAACATAAAATTACAGAAACTCGTAATTCTGGCTGGGATCAATAATAATAATCCAAATAACATACCCAATGGTAGTTTTTTTTTTTTTTGATATTCATTTGGAATTAAAATATTTTTACCATTGGACATTTGTCTGCTAAAATACCACTGAATGTAAAAATGCTTAGATATTTTTGAGATATCAAAATGCAACACTGTACTCTAAACTCTGCTGTCTAATAATACAAAAAATTCATTTACAATTTTACCCTAGGTCTATGTATTAAAAGGGGTCTTCAATGGATTGTTTGGTTTTCACTTATTGGGGTTTTTTTTTAAACTATAATGATAATTTTGTCATTTATTTTGATTCCAGGCACCTGTTCCTGTCATGATGGCTATGTCGGCTCAGACTGCTCTGGGGAGCTTTCTTCTCCCCCAGAAAAATTTTTCCTCCCCTCTTATGGATTATGTGATAAAAGGTTTAGAGAATGCCATAAAACTAATATCATGGGATTCTTCCATGCTGAAAACGTGACAGCGAAATTTGCATACTTCAAGGTAAAGTTCATTGAAAGCTTTTTTTAGCTCTTTTACCTATATATTTTTCTTTACATTTTTGACGAATGTTTTATAATGCATTCAAATAGGTTAAAGACACTGGTATTCAAAATTATGCGTTTACTAAAACTCAAAGCACAACTTACCATGATTTCAACTTGATCTCCGTACAAATACCAGACGTGCCTAATACAAACCGAAGAAAACGTTCAACAGATGCTGACCAAACTGTTCACGGATGGAACATCTCTCTTAGTAATGATGGCAACACGTTCAGCAGTCATGTAACCTTGTTGATATTCGATGGTCTGATGCACAAATGTGACATTCAAAAGCTTGTGTGCCATTCCTTTGTGAGTATCACATTAAACTGATGTTACATGATTTTTTTTATATGATATATTTTTTTAAAATGATAATATAGAATTTTGTGTTAAGTAGAAATTATCCAAGCAATAACCTATTCCTTGCAACTTTGAAATATGTACTTTTCATATTAAACATTATATTTTTTTTTATCTTTTTTAGAACGATATATCGAGTTCCACGACCAAGAATGGTAATAAATGTCTTTTCATTCTTTTGGTGGATATGATATTCATAGTTCAGTATTACAAACATTAGATTTGATAAAGTGAACGGTTAATTAAGCTTCTTTCTTTTTCAGGGACCACATTACTGGCGATCATTGTCGGGGCAGTTACTGGAATACTTGTTGTTGTCATAGTAACAGCTGTCAGCATAATTGTCGTTAAAAACTCCAAACGGTGGGTATATTTATTTAACATCAAAATGAATTCTTATCTTTCAATTGAAGGAATTCCAATAATAAAGAATATATTTGTGATTTTTAAAGAAAAAGTTCTGTTGATGCCTTTTCCACTATGCCGAATAGCCGACTCGGCCCTGGTCGTCATGGCAACTTTAGAGACCTTTCCAGATACCAATCTGAAGAACGTACTCCTAGAGATACCCACAGCGTCAATTCATTCCCTGAAGAAACCTCAAGCACATGTGATTCACCAAACATTAATGTTTTTTTGATCCCAGACTCACTTAACGAATATAGTATTCCCCCAATCAAAACTAACATGTAAAAACTGAAGTACTACAGAATTGTCGATATATATTGTTTGATCTGGTAAACGCCTTTATCATATTTTTTTCAAATAGTAATACAGTGTAATCAATCTGCTGTGGCCTCAAATTTAGTAATAAATATAAATATATATGGATTCTATTTTCTACCTTTAATGGGATATCGTGATACATAGTGCTTAACCATTTAATTTTTAGTCCTTTATATTTAAATTGAGTATAGATACAGTAAAACTGTATTAAACTTTTTTAATGAAGTCGAGAATATATTTAGTTAATGAAATGCATTGTAAATGTTCTAAAATGTTGATATACTTACTTGTTTTTCAAATTTAATTTCCACCACATTTAAACATTTTTTTTAAAGATTTTTGTTAGCTTTTTTATTGCACTCTGATTTATATATTTATTTCTTTTTTTTCTTTGAAATTTTTATACTATAGACTGGTAATATTATTATCGACATAATTGTTGATTTTTACTTATTTCTGGAGCTTTTTTTTTAGTTTTTAAAATAAAGTTTTTCTGTTTATTGCCGTCTGATCGATCTCGATATTAATACCTTTTCATGATTTATAAATATTCATAGTATTCCTTAGGATATATTTTTAACTTTCAAATTTGTTTCAAATAAACATATTTCTACATACACATATATATCTTCAATAATGTACCCATGTATTATGAAATACATATACATTTACATACATACACGCATTTTTTATAAGAAAGACGAGAAAAGAAGAGAGGGAAGAGAAAGAATAAATAAAGTATTAAGCAAAAAATTATATAGGCATAGTGTTCACTTTGTTCATTAAGATGGTGATGAGCAACATTCACTCCCTTGAAAATTACACATAAAGTACAACATATCACATATTCTCGCAATTTTTTTTTTCAAACTATGTAAATATCTATTGTTTCAATGGTGAAAAATTCTCTTTAAAGATTCTAACTGGGTCTTTTTTAAGAATAATTGTACTTAGAACTGGATGATTTTTATATTTACTTGAATAAATATAATGTTTGATTATCAAAGTAATCAAATTTTGCACTTTATGAATATCCATGTTCTTATATTTACCAAATTATATTGTTGATAATATTGTTATTGTTTTTTAACTACGGAATGACCCTTCTTCTTCATCAACACACAGGGTATCATGGGGGTGTGATTTGTCACCTGTAATTATTTATTCCTCCTAGGCACCTGATCCCACCTCTGAAACTCCTGTGATCCGTGCCCTGCACACACATCTGTTTTGTTTATAGCTGTTTGAGACCTATCTCTATTCGTTATCTTTTCCTAGTTGTGAAAATACTTGATCAATAATTGATTGCTATATAACTATACTATGGCGTCTCTCATATTCATCATCACTGTAAAAATATTTACTTGTAATAATTGTTATCAACACCTTATAGCTTCAAAATTAATTATTTTGTTAGGCAAGTGAAGAGAAAATTTTGCAATTACTTACCATACTAATAAGCTGAAAAATTGTATAAATCTTAATACGGATTTTATTTTGCTTATGTTGTTCAGATATACTCATAAAACTTAGTACATCAACATTCACTTTTGAAATGCCGAGTGTCTAGCGAACCATTTTTTATCGAATTTGGTCAGTCGCTCCCGGGATTCGAACATACGATCTTCCGATCATGGAGTGAACGTTCTACCGAATTAGCTAAATATAAGCAGAAATATCGCTTATCAAGGTATCTTACATCAACAAAAAAAACAATGTCTATTGAGGTTTACCGTTTAAGATTCGTTATAATTAGAATATTTATTAATTTTTCAAAACAATTAATATGCTTTGCAAAGAAAAGTTAAAAAGTCAGTGAAAAGAAATTCATTTTAAGACAAGTATTACCAGGGATTTTTAACAATCTTTTTTATTTTACTTGTAAAAAGAATTTACAAAATGGAAGTACAATGATAGTTATTCTGTTTATGTTTAAAGAACCTGGCTTGATCTTGGCTTGATAAAGAACAACGACTTGGTTATAAATAAGTACAAGAAATTTAAATCCGTAAAATGGTTGTAAAAGAAGAACTGTCTGTTCTATTAAAAGGATGAAGCCTCCTTGTGCGTATTTGAAGCTGATTTTATTGACAATAATATTTAGAACAGCGAAAGGTAAGAACATTTCATATATGTGTTATATATGTGTTTCCTTTTTTCCCCTAATTTGTACAAAAAATGCACAACTTGAACATTTGATTTATTATAAACAATATTGAAAATATTTCAAAGCTTCAAATACTAATTTTGAAAATACTGATTAATTTTTTTAACCTTAAGATTCCTCAAAATCGATTTGAATTAAATTTGAATTGTATAGTACGATTTACAAAGAAATTATCCTTATATAGTATTTTTTAAGGAAGACATCTCTCTTAATGTATATGATTATGTACATACCTATTTTTACTTGTCTTAAGACGGTTAAACATATTCTAGATTATCATAAATTTACACAAGAATATTTCGTGAAACAATGTGTTTGCATATTTTTTTCCTCTCCAATCTGTTAAAACTTTGTTTCCTCTTTAGCTCCAGCTCCAAACAAGATTGGATTCAAGTTCTTACCACTGTTTTTCCGTTGATCTTGTGCATTTTTTTCTATTAAATTCCTAAGAAACGCTTAATCCCCAAAATATCATTTCAGAGTCAGGAATACAAGATCAGGGTCAGGTCTTATTTTTTTTATCTTTCTATTTTGAAAATTAAATATTTTTTAGATGATTTCTTATAAGAAACTCTAGTCCCTATTGTGGCGCCATCCTATTCAACAAAGTTAATTCTACACTTTATAAAAATGTTCTCATTTTTTAATGTGATGAAATATATGGAGATAACAAACAGTATTCGAGCTCAAAAGTCCATTAAAAATTACAAAAGGGGTAGAGCAAACACAGACCTCTAAAACATCAGAAGTGGGATCAGGTGTACTGGAGGAGTGAGCATCCCCTGCTGACCGGTCATACTTGCCGTGTGCTCCTTGTCATGATCGGTAATAACGAACAAAATCTGTGGACAGCTAAGTGTGCAAATAATGACCTGACAATCAGTATAAAAAAAGTTAGCCGGCATTTTACTTCATGATAAAGTGCATTTGCTGACAAGGACATTGTATCGACCATAGAACTTACGAGATGATGACTTCTAACGAGAATGTTGATATTCTTGCTTCATCGACTTGATTGTCAATTAGTTACCTCGTTTAAGAAATTGTTCATATGTATAACTTCCTCTTCCGTATCGAATCAACTAAGAGATACAAACTACATATGCAGGTAACAAAGGATTCTTGTTGCATTAGTAATGAAGTTTACGATTGAAAAATTGTAGTCATCACATTTATCTTAAAGCTTTATTGTTAGATAACCATAAACGACTTTTTCTAGTAAAAGATCTAAATATGAAACTGATGGGTCAGTCTTTGTGCTATCTCTTGTTTCAAACTCACCGGGATATATCGTATCGACATAAGAATGGAAATGATGCTTGTCAATTGACAATACGTCGTCGATATAGCTTAATGTTGAGTTGAAGGTCACAGTGTTTTCTTTTCACGTAAATATTTCGAACAAATTCTGCTTCATATGAATACAAAATAATACAAAATAGGTCTGTTAATAACGGGGCGCAATGTTACCCATAGGAATTCCAATAGATTGTTGGAAAACCTGGTCTCCGAAAACTACATAGATATGGTCAATCAGAAACTCGAGTATCTTTTTAATATCAACTTCAGATTACTTGTGTGTACAATCAGAATATTTTAATAAAGTATTTTGCAAATGAACAATGCCAAGTAAATTTACGAGTTCGATTTTTATTGAAGAATATGGAGATAACGAACAGTATTCAATATCAAATTCCATAAAACAATACAAAATAGGGGCAGAGCAAACACGGACCTCCGAAAAAACAGCTGTCAATGATATAGAAAAGTCTAGACTTTAATTTATCGTTAAGAATGGTTTGGTATAAAGTTGAAAAGTCGTAATTATTTAAGCTGTTGATTTTGGTAAAATCTTGTGATTTCAAATTGTCCAAAATTCCTTGAAAATTTTAAGTATCCGCTTCT